GAACCGGACCAAGCCCCGGGAAAGAAATCCCCATCGCCCGTCAGCGGCAACACCTCGCTCCACAGGGAGACGCCGAGCGCCCTCCTTGCAGTGAGCTCATACCGTTGGCTTCTTGTTTACCCGTGCAACATTAAACAATTGTGTCATCCAGAATTAGCGTTCTTCCAGGGCACAAGCAGAAAGGTAGCCGTGTCAGACGGCACCCTGCTCTGCCTATAGCGCTTTCCCAAAGAAGGGAAAACATTTCCATTCCCCGTTTCGTTTGCATTTTTCTTCACTCTCTTCCTCTGACCGTCCCGCACCGTTACAAAAAGCAGCTCTGCTGACCGGCCGTTCCTTCGGGTACGTGCAAACGAGCGGTTTTCTCCCCGCAGCCCCAGAACTAGCATTACCGACCAGCAGACCGCTTTCTCCAGGGCCACCATATCTAAATTCAGCTCCTTCCACCTCACGCGACACGAATCATCGGCTGGACTAAACCTCCAGACCTCTCTGCTGAAAAATCTGCTAATTCTGAAGCAGCAGAGCACCCAGACCGCGTCACGCGAGGGGCACGAGCACAAAGCGGCACGGAAATGGCTCAGTCTCTGCTGATCAGCTTCAGAAATGACCTCTCCTGCGGAGAGAACTTCTCGGACCAACCGCGGGACGCCAGACTGTTCTACTGGCGGCACCGAGAACTGCCGGCATTTATCTGCCTCTTGTAAAAAGCATCTCAGTCAGGCAAACGTGCAGCGTTGTGTGCGCGCCAAGTAAAATTAAAAGTCTTTTGCACAAAAAAAGGGGCGTCAGGAAGGCTCACCTGTAATGTCCTTAAGTTCTGAGGCTCAACCCCCTGAGCTCCAGGCCTGGAGGGAAGCTTGGACAGTCCCTGCTGTCCCACGTGAGCAGGAGATGGCTGGACAATAGACGCCGCATTCTGGACAACCGGAGTCTAGATTGAGAGAAAACAAGAATCGGCATCAGTGCACGGTGCTCGGAAAGGAAATCCATCGGCAGACCCGACGCAGACCAAGCCTCATCCACGCTCCATCGAGCACCGATAGTTCAGAGCTGCACGGATTTATCTTCTCGGCTGGCCCCGAGGGCAGCACGCCGGGTAGGACGGGCCGTGGATTTGCTACGGAGACACTTTGGGAAGAAATATCACACGGGAGGACAAACGTGAAGGTCCGAGAGCAGAGCAAGTCTTTGTGTGGCCTTCTGCGAGGCCAAGCACCTTCCCCTCATCCCCCCCAGCCCCAAACGACGCTGCTCAGAGCTTCACCTTCTGTACCACGTTCTCCTTTTGCAGCTGACTTTGCCTCAGTTTCTTCAGCAACACGAGCCTGGCCTCCTCCAGCCGTAGCTCATCCCGAAGCTGCTTGATCAGCTGCTGTCGCTCCTCTATGCTTTTACCCTACAAAGAAGCAGAAAAATCAGTCAAAACTCAAACGGTAGAAACCAAGAGAGCGTGAGGAAGCTTTAACACGAGCAAGAATTTGTACCGCGGATAACCAAAGACACAAAAGCTGGATCGTTACGCCCACAAGTTATCGCGTTGCTCAAAAAACCCCCTTAGATCCCAAATCCCGCCGGAGCAGCCGCCCGGGACAGTGGAGAAACCCCTTACCTTAAACATTTCAAGATTTGCTGCTTTAAGTCTTTCCTCCATACGAGAGCTGGAACGAGGACTGGATGCCTCATTATCGGAGAGGACAATTATATCTGGCGAAGGGGTTAATCGTCCCCTGTCCTGGTCACTGCGTAACAAAAGGGAAAAAAAAAACAAAAAACAACAAAAAGACTGAGCCACAACACCGAGAGACGGGCAGCAAATCGGGGAGGGGGACAAATCCCTCCCCCAGCTCCACCACAGATGCAAACCGGAGCTCGGCACCGAGGACCAGGAGCGGATCGCCGGCTTCGAGCCGGAAGCATCCTCCGCTCGCAGGAGGGAAAAAGATTCGTTCAGAAATGTTTTCTTCTCCGGGGTGAAAGGTGGGTTGGTTTAAGCGCAAGGTAAGCAAACCCGTGATGCAAACCCCTATCTGCGAGAGGAGCGGTCGGGTGTTAATAACGAGTCATATAGTAACTAAACAGGGAGACACGACCGTAGCCAGGTGCTGAGAGGAGAGGGAGCAGGGGTAGGTACTCTGGCCTGTTCGTACTTAATCACAAAGGTCACCACGATGCTGGAGATGAAAACGGGCTAAGTCCCCCGGTTAAGAGAAATGTAAATACTCCGAGCCTATCTCAAACACAAATCTATTTTAAAAGGTCACTCCATAAAGGAAAATCGGAATAAATACCCTGCGTGGAGTCAAAAGAGTCAATTGAACCGTGACCTAGAAATCAGTAACCGAAAGGAGCAGCAGTGACAACAGCCCGTCACTGGGGGGAAAAAAAAAAATATATTAAAAAAAAATAAAAAATAAAATCGATGCTATAATCCAGCAGTATCCAAGCACCACGTTGTTACGCACTGTGGTTATAAAGGTGCCGGGCGCGCTGCCGCTGTCACAGACAGACTTATCGCTCTCGGACTCACTGGAAGGTCTTTGGTGTGAGGCTGCAGGCGATGAGGAGATGCAGGGATTGTTTTAGCCAAAACTTTTAGCTTTGAACACCCAGCAGGAAGCACGGAGCCAAATCCCAGCTTTCCTGCTTGGCTGCTCCGGGGGCTGTGGGTCCGGAGAGGATGCTCAGAGCAGGACGCTGACTTGCAGCGGGGAATATTTGCCCCGTAGGTCAAGGTTACAGCCGCTTTCGTGGGTATTTCAAAGCACAAGTGCTGCGTAGCTGCTCCCTTCGCCGGTGGTTTCACGTCCTCTGCTAACCCCGTCCGACACGGAATTTACGGGTCGCTCTTCAGCTGGAGAAATGCCCCCAGCAGCGTGGCTCCAAACCATCAGAGAAAAAAAAAAAAGAAGAAATCAAAGCTGTGAAAGCTCTCGGCTGTGCCCAAAGGTGCCGGGACACGGCTCTGCGCGGTATTTGTGGGTGCGTTATTTCAGAGCCCTCAATAACCTCTTTGTGGGCCATCGCACGCTTAAGGCATCACATGAACGTGGTGTCTGCTGATCAACAGCCATCCCGGCCTTTGCGGATCTCCTTTCAGCACCCCGCGGACGCTGCGTGTCGGACCCAAACCAGGGGTTTTCCAGCTGCTGCTCCCTCTCCGCGGTGGAGGAGGAGGTTTCTCAGGTGGCAGGAGGGTTTTCCAGCTGGGGCTGAGCTTCTGCTCTGTCCCCAGCAGCGCGGTCAGCAGAGGAGGTCCGGAGCATCCTATGGAGATAAAGTCCAGGCAAACCAACCTGCATCCGAGGAGTTTTCTATATAGCAAGAGCTGCCTTTGGGTGAGTCTTCGACACCTCTTGAGCGGCCCATCGGCCTCCCACGGCATTTTATCCGGCTTCTGCTGCGAGTTACCCAAGGTGCCCATCTCCAAACGATCAGCTCAGATGTGTCTATACACGAAACCGCTCAGGAATAAACACGTCCTCGCGCCCCGAAGCAGGTATCCCGGGTCAACTCGCAGCCACCATTCCCCAAACGGAGTTTTGAAATGTCAACAAACGCCGTGACAAGCGTTTGGACAGGAGGCTCTCCGGTACACGCAGGATCGCACGTTAAAAATAAAACAAGCTTTGGCAGAGGGTCCCTTTCCCCCATCAGAGTCAGGACCCTGCAGACAGCAAAACCAAGTCCTTTATTTTGCTGCAAGCCTCCGGATGAGCTCGCTTTGAGTAACAGCATCCCAAATTCTCGGACTAGAAGGACCGAAGGCAATCAAGCATTGAGCACAACAGGTTTTCTCGCTCCTCTCACATCCTCGGCCACATCTCAGGCGCACCCGGAGTAATAAAGCATCGCATTTTGGTTCAGGATTTTCCCAAACGCGGGCTGTCATTACGGCTCCTGGTGATTATTTTGCACGAGCATCCCGATACATCCGGGTCGTTTTATTTACATTCTGTCGAAGTGGGGCGGGGGGGAAGCAAAGCCGGAGTCAAAACCAGACAGGGAAAAACAGGGCCATCTGCAAATCCAGATACATCCGGGTCGTTTTATTTACATTCTGTCGAAGTGGGGCGGGGGGGAAGCAAAGCCGGAGTCAAAACCAGACAGGGAAAAACAGGGCCATCTGCAAAGAATTGCTGAAGATGTCAGGGTTGTTTTATTTACTTTTGTCGAGGGAAGA